GATTTGGAAATCGAATGTGCTGTTTTCAGGCCATTGGGACCTATTGTCTAATTTATACTGAGGCCAGTAAATCCTAGGGTCTGAAGATTCTTAAGTACACAGCCCAGGGGTGTGGTGCAGGGAATGGTCAATTGTGAATTCCCTATGGTGATGGGCTGTGGCTTAAGGTCTGTTCTCAGTGAAGTTAAGGCAGAGAAAGGTGTCTCCATCTCCCCCTAATGTTCACAAGAAATATAATAGACTGAGCCCTCCCTCTGTGACAGGTGACCCCGTCAAGAAAGTGGACAAGGGAACCTAGTTTCCCTGAAGAACTTGTCCTGACCAGTGCTGGATTTTTGTGGGGCTGGCCATACCGTAACAGCCCGGATCCTGGCTCCAAACCCAAAATGACAGGGCAGTCCAGAATGTGGGAAAACAGACCAAAGCCACTTAATTATGAGTTTATGCCCAGTGTTGATGGAGAAGGAAGCAAGATAAGGAGAGGTCCACTATCAAGTCATGGACATAAGCCAGATCAGTCTGGAGGAAAACTAGGGGGACCCAAGTAGGCATAATGAGTCCAGCAGAAGTTCAGCTGTGTAGATGCATGGCTGGGGGCCTTCCTTGGACACACAGGGAGCTCAGGAGCTGGACAATCATGGTCTCTCTGAGTGCCAAGTGCCCAGTTGCTAGAACCATGCAATGGCTCTTACTGGATCCTCACTAGACCTTCCTAGGTTTTGGTGCCAAATGAAAGGTGTGGAGTGGGCTGGGTACCAACATCTATGACATGAGGCCATAATGTATCAAAATAAGCTTTTATTTCAGGCACTTGGGTTACAGCTAGGCTGGGTCCGACAAAGGAATCAGTGGAGAGTGAAGGAAGGGAAATGTTTTTATTAACTTTTGCTGGCTACAAGCCATTCTGCTGATGTGTCTGATCTGTCCTTGGCTCTTCCTGGAGCCAGATGTTCAGTGGCTATCTGGACTATGCTGTGCTCAAGATTGCAAGCTTTCTGCAAGATATATGCTAAGCACAATATGTTTTCTCTGTCCCATTTTACTCTCTTTAACCCTTTCAATTTCTAGTTTTATGCCATTGTGATATCAGAAGATGCTTAATATGGTTTCAGTCTTCTTGAATTTGTAGAGACTTAGCCTATGTCCTAACATGTGTTCTATCCTTGGAAATGTCCCATGAGCACTTGAGAAGAATATATATTTTATGGTTTTAGGGTGAAATGTTCAAAAGATGTCAATTAAGTCCATCTGATCTACTGAGTCATTGAGGATTGCTGTTTCTTTGTTGAATATTTGTCCGGAGGATTTATCCAGTAATGTCAATAGGGTATTAAAGTCCCATAATATGATTGTATTGCTGTCAATTTCTCCCTTGATATCTTCCAGAAGTTTATTTTTTTTTAATGTATTTGGGTACTCCTTCATTGGTCGCATATATGTTTACCAGAGTTATATACTCTTGTTGAATTGCTCCCTTTAGTATTATGAAGTGGCCTTCACTATCTCTTGTTATGGCCTTCATTTTGAGGTATATTTTGTCAGATGTAAGTATTTGTACCCCAGCTTTGTGTTGTTGTTGTTTTTCATTTTTGTTTGCCTTAAAAATATATTTCCATCCCTTCACTTTCAGTTTGTGAGTCCCTTGTTATGAGGTGGGTCTCCTATAGAAAGCATATATGGATCATGTTTTCTTATCCATTCAGCCACCCTATGTTTATTGATTGGAGCATTTAATCAATTTACATTTAAAATTATTATTGATAAGTACTTGTTTGTAGCCATTTTTATTTTTTGTGCCTGTGTTTTTTCTTCCTTTTCTATTTTTTCTTTTTACAACAGTCCCTTTAGCATTTCTTACATTGCTGACTTGGTAGTAATAAACTCCTTTAGCCTTTTTTTTTTTTCTTTTTTTTCGAAGCTCCTGATTTCCCCTTTAATTTTGAATGATAGCTTTGCTGGATAGTATTCTTCGATTCAGTCCTTTGTTTGTTTTGCATCACTTTGTATACTTCATTTCATTGCCCTTTGGCCTGAAGTGTTTCTGTTGAGAAATGATTTGATAATCTAATAGGAGATCCCTTGTAGGTAACTCTCTGTTTCCCTCTTGCAGTGCTTAAGATTCTCTCTTTGCTGTTAATGTTTGCCATTGTAATTATGATGTATCTTGGTGTAGGTCTTTTGGGGTTCATCTTGTTTGGGTATCTTGGTGTTTGTGTGACTTTTTTCTTCCTCAAATCAGGGAAATTTTCTGTCATTTCTTCAAATATGTTTTCTAATCCTTGCTCTTCTTATTGTCCTTCTCGCACCTTTATTATATGGATATTGCTTAATTTAATGTTGTCCTTAAGCTCCCTCAAACTCTCCTCCTGGTTTCTATTTTTTTCTCCAATTGCTATTCAGATTGGGTGTGTTTTCCTACCCTGTCTTCTAGCTCACTGATTCGGTCCTCCCTTTCTTCTAGTCTACTATTGAAACCTTCCAATGTGTTTTTTATTGTAGTTGTATCATTTTTTATTTCTTCTTAATTCTTACATAAGTTATTGCTTTTCTCATCTAGCCTGTTTAGGAACTGTATGACCCTTACTCTGAATTCTTTCTTTGACATTTTGCACTCCTCTGTTTCATTCAGTTCCTTTTCTGGTGATTAATTCTTTTCTTTCCTTGGGGATTGTTTCTTTGTCTCCCTATTTTTTGTCTCTTTCTTGCTCTGGTCTCCCTGCTGGGGGTCCCATGCATTAAAGTGCCTAGCAGTCCAAAGGTCTTGGACCCTTACCACAGGGGTTGGGTCTGCCTTGAGTTTCACACCATTATTGTCTCTACTCTGAATTGTACCCCCTTCTCCTCCAGTCTGGTTCCTCAGTTTTCTGTTTCTCAGAGTTGGCGGGTATGGGTGCATAGTTGCTCTATTTTGTGACTCTCTGTGAAGACCCAGAATCCTCTGGCATGCAATTTTCTGTGCGGCCCAGTTTCTAAGGCAGAATGGTGTCTAAGTCCCTCTAGCAGTGCACTTGCAGTGTGGTTCTGTGACCTGTTGGTGGGCACACCGGGTCCCACCAGCAGCTCTGGCCTGGGCTGAGGGTGCCAGGTGACATCTGTGACTGTGCTGGGTTAAAAGCACACACAGTCCAAAGGCTCTGTCTATGCTGGGGGTGGGGCACTCAGCAGCCAAAGGCTCTGTCTGTGCTGGTGGCAGAGCACCCACTGTCCAATGGCTCCGTATCTACTGGGGGTGTAGCACACACTGGCCCAAGGCTCCGTTTTTGCCAGGGGCTGGATGCAAACCAGGCTGCTACTCCGTCTGTGCCAAGGTGGGGTACCCACTGGTCAGAGTTTCTGTCTCTGCTGGGGGCATAGCAAACACTGGGCTGAAGCTCTGTCTATGCTGGGGGTGGGGTGCGCACCAGCCAAAGCTCTGTCTGTGTGCTGGCAGAGTGCACGCTTGCCAATGGCTCTTTCTGTGTGGGGGATGGGATAATCACTGGGTGAGGGCTCTATCTGAGTGAGGGTGTAGCATGCACCAGGCTGTGGCTCTGTACTAGGACTAGGGATGGAGCTTGCACTCACAGCATGGTGACCTAAAGCACGGGATTCTGGAGCATTGGGTTTGGGCTTCATCTAAGATGCATAGCTCAAGATATCTGTCTGGCAAGTACTCACTGCAGATATCTGGGACCTATGTCATGGTATCAAACTGCTCACTGCCTGAGCACAGTGGTCCACATGTGTTATGGATGCAGGCAATTCCCTGCACAGGTCCTGGGATGCTATGTGAAGTAGTCTGGATTTTGGTGTTGCAGCACTCCTGGCCTTTGTTATTCCCCTATACAAAATGCTGTGGGTTCCACACCAAAGCCTAGCAAGTCTTGGGGTGCCTTCAGCATCAGCAGGGGTTCCCAATATAGGAGAGTCTGTTCCCAGTTCCTGGGACTTCTAAGATATTTATCTGTTTCTCATTCACCCACACACATACCACACATGTCTACACATGCCCCTCTTGCCCCTTTACTCACTCACACTCTCTCCCTCTTTATATATATATATATATCTATATATATATATCTATATATATATATATATATATATATTCCAATTTCTTCTTATCTGTAGGGCTTCCCTATTTAGTATTTTTAAGTCTATGTGTAATAATAACTCAATCTTGATTTTTTTAATCTATCAATTTGTATTGCCTATTATTTCTTTTAAGTTTTATGTATCAAGTAAACTTTGTATGAGTTTTAAACAATGTATAAGAACATTTATAGAGGTTAATTTTAAACTTAGAAATAATTTCAAACTTACAGGAAAGTTATAGAGTAAGAAAAGTACAAAGAACATTCATATACTATTTGCCCAGATTCACTTATTGTTAACATAACATTTCACTGCTTTTAATTTATAATTTGAATATGCTCTCTGTCTTTCTCTTTACCCTTTCCTCTTCCCACCTCTCTACATATATATGTATATGTACATACATCCACTCATATATTTTTTCTTAGCCATCTGTTAAATTTGTATACATCATGACCTCTTTAACCCTAAATAATCCAAGGTGTATTTCCTAAGGGATATTCTGTGGAGACAGTTTGAGTCTCTGGATAATGTGATTTCTTCGAACAGAAATTATTATATTTTTCTAGCTTTTCTGGCTAAGATTATTCTAAAACATTTAGTCTTCCATGCCAGAAATTTCTAAAGTTTTATTGTTATGGTATATTTCCCATTGTGAGGGCCTGTCTGTCCTCATTACCCTTCTTTTATAGAATTTCCTTACTCTAGCTATTTATTTTTTCTATATTAAGTTTTACAATAAATTTTTCTAGTTTCCAAATAATTATTTTTATTATTAAATTATGAATTCATTTAGGAAGATTGATAATATCATGTTAACATTCCTACATAACAGGGTCTTTTTCCCCCCATTTCTCCAAAACTCCAAAACTTCTTTTGGAATCCTCAGCAGTCTTTTACTTTCTCTTCATTTTTTCTTCTGTTCACAGCAAGATGGATTCTGGATATACTCTGAATACTGTAACAACCATCTGGATGCTTGCATGGAGCTCTCCAAACTGATGAAGGACAGCCGCTATCAGCACTTCTTTGAGGCCTGTCGCCTCTTGCAGCAGATGATCGACATAGCTATTGATGGTTTCCTTCTGACTCCAGTCCAGAAAATCTGCAAGTATCCCTTACAGTTGGCTGAGCTCCTCAAGTATACTGCCCAAGACCATAGGTAAGGGATTAAGGGAGGCAGGAGTGGAGGAAAGAGCCTCCTCTACATGTTGGTTCTTACTAAGTATGTATGTTCTTTTCCTTGTCTGAGCTTCTGTTAGCTTCTTTGCACAATGGGATGATGACATATTCTTGTTTACCTCTCAAGGCTGTTATATGTATAAAGTAAGGGAAGGTTCTTCTATCTCATGATAACTTGAGAGTTGCTTATAAAGTTGTAAAGCAAGTTTCTTTACATTATAGTGCCTCTGTTACTGGTTTTTAAGAGCTTATTTCTGACTAAAGATGTTAACCATTTCTTATGCATTGCAAATGAAATACCATGTTTTTGTTACTATTTTATTCTGGTGTTTCACTTTTTGGTTGCATCAAACTTGTATATTAAATATTATCATGTTCTGTTTTTAAAAATAGATGTAAATCAGTATGCACAAAATCATTAGGCATCATCATTATTGTACAACTTAATCCCTGCCTTTAGGGAGCTTATAGTCTGGTCCTTAGTCCTGAGTTTAGCCAAGTAATTCAACACAGATGGAATAATTGTTCAACTGTTATTTTCTACTCTGCTTAATAGATTTAAATATTTTGGAAATAGCCTGCCCAACTATACTGACCTTACACTTATTCTGCAAGGTTAACTCCTTGCTTTTCTTTATCTTTTATATCCTGCTCTGCCTCATTCCAACTGTACTTTCCCATTAGACCCTGAACATACTGGGGGAAAATAGACTTGAAACTTCCCCTGAAGTTTTTTTTTTTTTTAAAGGTTTTTAATATTTTCAAAAAAACCCAACTCAAAATGGACCAAGGAGTTTATCTCTCAGAATGGAAATGGTACTCCTAACCTCCTACTAGTAAGATATATGCTGGGTGTCATCTCTAACAATGGGGATGGTCTAAAGTGAACCAAAATGATAAAGGTTGACTGACAGTATGGCACTGTGGTAGGGATTAATTCATGGTTGAATGGGGCTCTCTCCCACTCTTCCACATGTTTTACTTCATGAACTAAAGTCCTCAGCCTGTTTCTACACTGCCTTTAATTGGTATTAGATCCCTAATCTTAGACCAGCTGGCCCAGCTCTCTGCTTTCTTTCTGATTGAGCACTCCAAGAAGAAAGAAGGCCTTTGGCCAATTGTTTTTAGCTTCCTATCTGATTCGTATTAGGCCTGTTTCCTACTTTTATTTGGCTCCATTGCCTGGGTTCCTTGGATATGACTTCTAGAGGTAGTTGCATAAGGCTATGAGTTTTGGCCAGTTGGTTTTGTTTATGTCAAACTTCTAGGTCAATCCATGTGTTTATTTTTAAGTTAATGTTGTTTTTCAAGTAAATCATGGGTCATGTGCTTCAGTAGTTTTGGAGCCCTGTATAGATTTCAGATATGAATCCAAATGCAGTGACACTGGACTCTCTCTTTATGTGAGTAACACCTCCAGTGGTAATTGTGCCTTCCATGCTCTGTTGGCTATGAGGAAGGTAGGTAGAGAAGGACCTTGCAAAGGAGGATTCTTCTCTCTCCTCCCTGTGTCTGTTTGCTAGCTTGGGAATGGTGGCAATATTCATTAGATATGAAATTTTGAGGTGACTAAATCTCTTTTGAAAAAATTTAATACAACCCATTGTCAGAACTGAATGCCAAGTTTTTTAAGGATACAGTTTTTTGTAAGAGCCAACGTAAGGCATTGAAGAACCCTCACTAAAATTAAGATATTTTGAAAATAAAAATGGAAAATATTTATAGCACTTATAATGGAAAGACCCTTAAAGGAAGGTATTTTAGTCAGACTTCCTCCTTCTATAGCTAGAGAGATTGAGGCCCAGAGAGTGAAATGACAAAGAGCAAGTCTGTGGCAAAACAGGGACACAAATTTTGAACAGTGGTCTGAGAACTTTTTTTTTTTTTAAACTGTAGGTTTTTTGTTTTTTTGTTTTTTAATCTTCACTCAAGGCTATGTTTATTGACTTGAAAGGGAAACATTAATGTGAGAGAGAAACCTCAATCAGTTGCCAACCTGGAATTGAACCTGAAACCTAGGATGTGCCCAGACCTGGAATCAAACCCACAACCTTTTGATGTACATGATGGTGCTCCAACCAGTACTGGGAACCTAATTTTTTAAACCTTTTTAAAGAGCCCTCCAAATGATTTCCATGCCCAAGAAGGTTTGTCGGCCACTGTATTAGCCAGTCTGCAAGGTGTCTTTCGGTTCTGCTAACTCATGATAACTTGAGACTAAATGCCCTCCACAGTTATACTTCATGGTGTTAAATGACCAAAAGCAGCCACTATTGTACCTAAATCTCAGTGGAGCAGCCTTCAGATCAATAGTTTCAAAACTGGTATATTCAAATAGTGGCTTTCAAATGTTTTTATATCACAGTTCATTTCCCACCTAATCCTGAGTGTCTATTCCATGGAACCTAGCAGGAGGCTCTAAAAATCATACTTGGGGATGGATGATTTCAACGAGGTAAATTATATGTTACATAATTGCTTTTAAGAGCTCAGAAAAACCATTTTCAAAGCACAGCAAAAGGCTATGTTAGGCCGAAACTGGTTTGGCTCAGTGGATAGAGCATAAGCCTGCATACTGAAAGGTCCCGGGCTCGATTCCAGTCAAGGGCATGTACCTTAGTTGCAGGCACATCCCCAGTAGGGGGTGTGCAAGAGGCAGTTGATCAATGATTCTCTCTCATTGACGTTTCTAACTCTCTATCCTCTCTTCCTTTCTGTAAAAAAATCAATAAAATATATATTTTAAAAAAAGGCTATGTTAGTTTCTTAGGTCAAAGCAACCTCAGGGCCTTTTGAGTTTAGTGGGAATCAATAAGATAGATCATCTGCCTGGGATTTGCCATTCCTGTGCTACTTCACTATGTGACTGGAATCCCTTCCTCAAGGCTTCTTTTCCCTCTGAGTCCCCGGTCCCCTCTCCTTCTATCCCCTGGGATCAAAAGTGCTGAGAGGGTCGAAACCAGTTTGGCTCAATGAATAGAGCATCGGTCTGCAGACTGAAAGGTCCCAGGTTTGATTCTGGTCAAGGGCATGTACCTTGGTTGCGGGCATATCCCCAGTGGGGGGTGTGCAAGAGGCAGCTGATCAATGATTCTCTCTCATTGATGTTTCTAACTCTCTATTCCCTTTCTCTTCCTCTGTAAAAAAAATCAATAAAATTTTTTTTTTAAAAAAAAGAGTGCTGAGAGAATGGCTCAGATAGTGACAGGCTATATCAGTCCTTATTTTCCTTCAGAATGCCCCATTGAGCCCAGCATTATACCCCTTTTATCAAGTTCAGCAAGCTGCATCAAGATGGCAGATCCTGTGATGCATGTCAGAGTAGCTTGGATTTGAAGGCAATTAGAAGTTGCTGCCAGCTTTAAAAGCTTAGTGTGATAGGTATTAAGATAGGTAGGTCTGAAATGCAGGCAGTCAAAGTGGCTGCTGAGGTAGATTAGTTGAATGGAGAGTGATAAACGGAGAACAATACTACCTTTGCTTACAGAAGGGTGACATGTCCCCATCCTGCCACCCACCCTTCCTTAAGCTGACAAGAATGAAGACTGTGTATAAGAGGACATTTAGCTGACATCTGGAGTAACAAATCTTGCTTCAGTCAATCTCTTCCTTAGGGGCCTAGGGCCACACATCATCTGGAGTTCTCGGGACTCTGAGCAGGATTCTGACTAAACCATAGCTATTTACTTTTTTCACACACTACTAAAGCTAAAAGGGCAAGTTAGGGATCAAATATTCCCTCTATAAACATTGTGAGAAAGGCAGCCAGGTAAAAATAGCAAAGGTCAACTGACAGTATAACACCATGGCAGGAATTAATTCATGGTTGAGTGGGGCATGAGGTAATAAGCATTCTCAAGTCAGTGCTGTCCAGTAGAACTTTCTACAGTGATGTAAAAGCTCTATTTCTATGCTACCTAATATTGTAGCCACTGACCATATATGGCTACTAAGTACTGAGAAATGTAGCTGATAAAACTGAGGAACAAAAAATTTATTTCACTTAAAGGTAGCTAATGGCTACCTTATTGGGCAGTATAGCTCTATGCTTTAGAAAGTAGCTTAAGGCATTTTTCTGATGCTCTCAAATTAGATAGAGGAACAGCAGGAGACAGAAATCTAGCCCAAAGAACAGAGGTACTTATTTATGTTAACAGCTTCAACACTTCAACCATACCTTCTATCATTGCCCTATTCTGCTTCTAAATGGCAGGCTCAGAAAGTATTGCCAGAGAATAATGTTGACAATGTTACAGAGCCCAATAGATCCCCCCATAGGCTGGAGAATCTATTGTAAAAGGCTGATATGTAACATGAACAAATGTAAAGATTTGCAGTTGTGTATAAGAAATCAACAGTTAAACTACAGATTGAGAGACATGCAGCTTCCAGACAGCATATTTCAAAGAGATGTAGGAAACATTAGTCAGCCATAAGCTCAATATGAGTCAGTAATAGGATCCAGAAGAAAAACTAATAATAGCTAATATTCATAAAGAATTGGGATAAAGAAGAGCTTATTTTTCAACAGAGTTGTTTTGAGACAAAATTAACTGGTTAGGAGGCATAGTAAGCATTGTATCACTGGAGGTGATTAAATGCAGTAGTGTTTGAAGACTGGGATCTGGCAGTTGTACAGAAATCAAACTGGAGTAAGGGATTAAAATAGTTTACATGGATGATTAAACCCTCAACAAATCCTAAGGTAATGCTCCCCATTTTGTGGGAAACTGAGGAAACTGAGTCTCTGAGAGGGTGAATGAAACTTGACAAAGGCCACACCACTAGTCAGTGACAAAACTAGGCTTTGAGCCCAAGGAGTCTGGCTTCAGTCTCTGTTCTAATCAGTACTCTATCTATGATCTCTATATTGTTCAGGAGGATGTTATTTCACAGTGATTTGGGGCAGAGTTCCTTAGAAATAGGTGATAGTTCCTTTTTTCCCACATCCTTGCCATCACTTGTTGTTTGTTGATTTGTTGATGATAGCCATTCTGACAGGTGTGAGATGATACCTCATTGTCATTTTGATTTGCATCTCTCCGATGATTAGTGACTTTGAGCATGCTTTCATAGGTCTCTTGGCCTTCCTTCTGTCTTTTTTAGAAAAGTATCTATTTAGGTCCATTGCCCATTTTTTTAATGGGTTGTTTATCTTCTTCTTGTTAAGTTGTATGCGTTCCCTGTAAATGTTGGAGATTAAACCGTTATTGGTGATAACATTAGCAAATATGTTCTCCCATACAATGGGCTTTCTTGTTTTGTTGATGGTTTCTTTTGCTGTGCAAAAGCTTTTTATTTTTATACTAGAGGCCTGGTGCACGAAATTCGTGCAAAGGTGCAAGGGTGGGGGGTTGTCCCTCAGCCCAGCCTGCACCCTCTCCAATCTGGGATCACTCTCACAATCCAGGATTGCTCGCTCCCAACTGCTTGCCTGCCTGCCTGCCTTCCTGATTGCCCCTAACCACTTCTGCCTGTGAGCCTGGTCACCCCCTAACCACTCCCATGTCAGCCTGATTGATGTCAACTGCTCCCCTGCTAGCCCGTTTGCCCCCACCTTCCCTCCTCTGTCAGCCTGGTCACTCCTAACTGCCCTTCCCTGCAGGCCTGGTCCCTCTCAACTGCCCTCCCTTGCAGGCCTGGTGCCTCCCAACTGCCCTCCTTTACTTGCCTGATCACCCACAACCATCCTCCCTTGCAGGCCTGGTCCCTCCCAAATGCCCCCCCTGCTGGCCATCTTGTGTCCACATAGGGGCAGGATCTTTGACCACATGGGGGCAGCCATATTGTGTGTTGGAGTAATGGTCAATCTGCATATTACTCTTTTATTAGATAGGATAGAGGCCTGGTGCATGAGTGGGGGCCAGCTGGTTTGCCCTGAAGGGTGTCCCGGATCAGAGTGGGGGTTCCCTTGGGGCATGGGGCGGCCTGAGCGAAGGGTCTGTGGTGGTTTGCAGGCCAGCCATGCCCCCTGGCTACCCAAGTGGAGGCCCTGATATCTGGAATTTATTTACCTTCTACAATTGAAACTTTGTAGCCTGGAACAGAGCCAAGCCTCCTGCTCACTCAGTGGCAGCAGCCATTTCTGTTTGGATTTATTTACCTTCTATATTTGAAACTTTGTAGTGTTGAGAGGAGGCTCAGGCCAGCAAGGGCAGGTGGAAAGCTTGGCTTCCTCCATTGCAGGGGAAATGCCTCCCTCCTACTCTCTGTGGCTCTAAGCCATCTTGGTTGGGTTTATTTGCATACTCGCTCTGATAGGCTGGTGAGCGTGGCTTGTGAGTGTGGCTGGTGGAGCAGAGTGATGGTTAATTTGCATACTACTCTTTTATTAGGTAGGATAGTTCCATTTGTTTATTTTCTCTTTAGTTTCCATTGCCCTAGGAGCAATATCAGTGAAGAGATTCCTTCCGCCTATGTCTGAGATTTTGCTGTTTGTGGATTCATCTGGTATTTTTATGGTTTCCCATCTTATGTTTAAATCCTTTATCCATTTTGAGTTTGTTTTTGTGTATGGTGTAACTTTGTGGTCTAGTTTCATTTATTTATTTATTTATTTTTTGCATGTATTGGTCCAATTTTCCCACCATCATTTATTGAAGAGACTGTGTTGACTCCATTGTATGTTCATGTCTCCTTTGCCAAATATTAATTGAGCATAGTGGTTTGGGTTGATTTCTGGTTTCTCTATTCTATTCCATTGATCTATATGTCTGTTCTTGTGCCAGTACCAGGCTGTTTTGAGAACAGTGGCTTTGTAATACAGCTTGATGTCTAGTACTGAGATCCGACCTACTTTGTTCTTCTTTCTCAGGATTGCTGCAGGTATTTAGGGACTTTTTTATTACAGATGAATTTTTGGAAAGTTAATTCTAGGTCTGTGAAATATGCCATTGGCATTTTAATGGGTAGTGTACTGAATCTATAGGTTGTTTTAGGTAGAATGGACATTTTGATGATGACGTGCACTGCTGGTAGGAATGCAGAGTGGTGCAGCCACTGTGGAGAACATTATGGAATTTCCTCAAAAAACTATAAATGGAATTCCCATTTAACCCAGTGATCCCACTTCTAGGAATATATCCCAAGAAACTAGAAACACCAATTAGAAAAAATATATGCACCCCTATGTTCATAGCAGCACAATTCACCATAGCTAAGATTTGGAAACAGCCTAAGTGCCCATTAGCAGATGAGTGGATTAAAAAACGGCGATATATCTACACAATGGAATACTACACTGTGGTAAAAAAAGAAAGAGTTCTTACCATTTGAACAGCATGGGTGGAACTTGAGAGAATTATGCTAAGTGTAATAAGCCAGTCAGAGAAAGATAAATATCACATGATCTCACTCATTTATAGAATATAATAAACAACATAAACTGATGTCCAGAGACAGAGAAACATCAATCAGACCTCAGAGGGAAGGTAGGGGAGGGTGGGGTTAAGGAGAGATCAACCAAATGACTTGTATGCATGCATATAAGCCTATCCAATATACACAGAAAACGGGAGGGGGATGAGGGCATGAGTGGGGGTTTTGGGGATAATGGGGAGATAAGGACACATATGTAATACCTTAATCAATAAAGAAATTAAAAATAAAATGGAGATTAAAAAAAAGAAATAGGTGATAGAAGAAATGGTAAAGTTGTCTGGACCAAGGCATGTGCAAAGATCCCCTCTTGGTCTTTGGCTGGTTGTATTATTATAGATAGGACACAAAAATAATAGTATAGAAAAGATATGGGTCTATTTTCATCTTATGAAAAAGATATCTGCAGAGAGGTAATCTATGGCTGCCATAGTCATCAGAGACTTGGACTTTCTCCAACTTTCTCTTATCCTAGCTCTAGGAGTCTGAACCTTATCCTTATTGTCCAAGATGACTGCTAGAACTTCAGCCATCAAATCTATATTCCAAACATCATGATTAAGTAATGGCTAAAGAATGGTATGCCAATTTCCTTGAAAGAGGCTTCTCAAAAGTTATTCTCAACACTTTTTAAAAAGAGATATTTTATTGATTTTTTACAGGGAGGAAGGGAGAGTGATAGAAAGTTAGAAACATCAATGAGAGAGAAACATTAATCAGCTGCCTCCTGCACACCCCCTACTGGGGATGTGCCTGCAATCAAGGTACATGCCTTTGACTGGAATCGAACCTGGGACCCTTCAATCCACAGGCCGACGCTCTATCCACTGAGCCAAACTATTTAGTGCATATTCTTGACACTTTTATTTATATATCATTTGACATAATTTATACACATAGTCACCTGTTAGTGTAAAAAATGATAGGTAATGTAGTCTCCATGTGACATGGCTTCTATCTGAAAACCAGGGTTATATTATACTAAGTAGGAAGAAGAGAATTGACGATAGGGTTGGCATGTAGCACATTGGTTCTCTGACACATTGAATCATTCAACTTGTACTTTTGTGTTTTTGCAGTGACTACAGATATGTGGCAGCTGCTTTGGCTGTCATGAGAAATGTGACTCAGCAGATCAATGAACGCAAGCGGCGTTTGGAGAATATTGACAAGATTGCCCAGTGGCAGGCCTCTGTCCTAGACTGGGAGGTAGGATCTTTACCAACAGGAATATTGGGAAGTCTGAACAGCTTAGCCAGGACTACACATAGCCATGGATGGGTGAAGAGGAATTAGATTTGAAGAACAGCAGGAAGGATTTAGATAAGAACCAAAGTAAAACTTCCTGCTAATGAGAGGTATTGTATACTTGAATAGCTTTCTAAGAAGGTTGGAGAAATCTTTGTAACAGTGCTTCATTAAGAAAGGAAAGGTTCATCATTTTTCTTATTGCCAGGAAACAATTGGGTTGACTCAGTAGCTTTTCAAATCTCTTTCAACTCCTGGAATTTCATCACCACCAGATGAATACTTGGCTGAGAAGATCTATATGCTAATTCACTCCCAAACACAGAATAATTGGTTGTTTCTCTGGTGTTGGCTAATCAATATACTTATTTTCCTTTTGGTAGGATCACCTTACCATGACATATCTATTAGGTCTACCCAAGCCTGCACATTTCAGGCCATGACTATCATCCCTGCCAAATTGGCAGACCAAATTCTGTTTTTTGTCATCTGCTTATAAAAATAATACCTCACAACCCCAACGCCTAAGTAATAATAAATACCTTAGAGCAGCTTAGGGGAACAGCACAGAAAAGGACCTATTCCATGGACTGTAGTTTCTGGAAAATTTGAATTTCTAATTTTCTGATGATGATATTTGGTTTAGCTATCACTTTACCACCCTCTACATGCATTAGATCCACTTGAAAAGCAGGAAGACACCTTCTTTTTAATTTTTTCTTTTTTTTAGATTTTTTAGCAGGAGCCCAAGTTTAGAGCTCATGTTTGGGAACATGATTGTGATTTCTTCCTCATGGAACCCCTTCCCTCTCATCCTGGTTGTATAATATCCAAGGATTTATTGCAGTTTACCATCAGATTATTTAATCCAAATAAGTTGGAGGATACACTAAGCCCCAACATGATGGAGGCAGCAAGAGCATCTGTTTAAAAACTAAGGTGGCTTGATGAGGCATTCTCCTGGGACCAGGAGACCAAATCTGGTGCTGGGTGGATTTGTTATTTCTCTGCCCTCTTGTCAGTAGGCAGCATTGAAAATAAACTGTATGAAAAGGATGGCATTTCCTGAGACCACAACCCTATATCAGACAATCAGCCTATAATCAGAATGGTGTGCTGAGCATTGAGATGAGTGAGAAGTGCTTTTGCCTATCCAGGGGGGAAGTGGGGGCAAATACACTCTATGAAGAGGGAATAGTGTGAGCAAAATTCTAGAGGAATGGAAGAGAACAAAAGGCCTCTGGGGAAGGGGTCAGTGGAAAAGGATTGCACTTTGAGGGACAAGGTGAGAGCTCTGAATTCTGAGAGAGCTCTTTCCTTCACATGGACTGATTTTACATGGCCACTTTCAAGCAGCCATATAACCTGACTCATATAGGAACCATTATATTATTCCCATTTTCCAAATAAGGAAACAGATTGAGAACGGTTAACATATTTCTCATAGGCATCAGTGGGTCCAGAACCCAAGCCTTCTGAGATTTTCACCTCAGAAAACTTCCAGGGCAGCTGGTTGTTCCATTAAGGAATCATTATTCTCCTGTGCTTCAGTGGTTAGAACATGGGATTTCGAGGGATTCAGCCACTTTAAGACAATTACTTCCAATTTCTCTGACCTTGATTATGGGACATTAGTGGGTATGATTAGAGAATGAACTATGATTATAGGGCACATAGTAATACTCAATAGAATAACTTTCACTTATGTAGAGTTTATAATATGATGTGTACTTTCCTAAGAACTTTATATATGTTAATTTATATTATCTTCACAACAGCCAATGAGTTTGGTACTGCTATTATCCTCATTTTTAAAATGAAGAAACTGAGGCACAGAGAGAACATGTGAATTGCCCGACATCAACTGTCAACCACCTTGATAAGAATAGAGAGTGTATTTTTTTCAAGGTTTTATTTGTTTTTGTTTTGCTTGGTGGAGTTACTTGTGACAAGTAGGACTTAGAATAGAATTTGTCTACTGACTGATATGGTGGGTAGACCAGATGACACTGAATATTCCTAGTGCTGGTACAATCATTCGCAGTTTAGTAAGATGCATCTAAAAGAAATTTGGCCATCCTTGTATGGCATTGGCCCCTTTTATAGATTTCTTTCACTTCATATATATTCAAAATAGATGGAGACACATCTTCCTGGGATACCTCAGATGGGACTTGGCAGACTGGTACTACTCTCATCTTTCCATTCCTTTAAAGGGAAGGCTAGCTCTCTCATTCTGAGGACTTCCTCTCCCAGATCTGGGTGTCCAGAAGTTCTGTGCTAGTATGTGGGCTTCCCAAGAAGGAGTGTTATCTAAGTTTTAAGGTATCCCTGGGATGGAGTCTGCATTCACAGTAATACCTCTGGGCTTTCTTTTTGAGGTTGTATTATAGAAAATATTGCTACTGAGCTCCTCTTTTCCTTTCCATCCCTTAAACTGGGAAAAGATGATATGCTTGAGAATATAATATCCAGCTACCCCTCTTTTTGGCCCAGTGCTGTTTGCCTCTGATTATTTCTGGGATAATGAAGCAGCCTTAATTTCCAATTGACTTCAAACTTTGAGTACGAGGGATAGGAACTTACACATCATCCTCATATATCTCATTTAACAGCTGGAAAAGCTGAGACCCAGAGAGAGGAAGGGACTGACTCTGCAATAATTTTGGCCTGGATACAGCATAATGTATACGTAAGAGTGAGCACATTCTCTGGAGCTATAGAATTGAGGTTTGATTGTAGATCTGTAGCTAACTAGCTGGGTAAACTTGGCTCATCAGTTGACCTCTCTGTAACTCAGACTATAAAATGAGAGCAAGAATATTTATCTCTCAGGGCAACTGTGAGTATCAGAAGAGATAAAGTGTAACACAATGTCTGATCAATATAGGTGCTCAGTAAATATTAATCCTGGGCACTGCTCTTTGTCCTCATTTGCACATAGGCCAAAGAACACACATCCTTGTGCCCAGGGCCTTGATTTGGTTTGCCTTGTGTTCCATGAGTTCCAAGCATACCCCTGTTAGTCTTATCCACTAAAGATGTAAGCTCCTCTGACAGACCTACCACATACCTGTGACCTAGCAGAATTACCATAAAAAGGAGCCAGACTACAGAATTGAAGAATTAGGAATCAGGTGTCTTGGTGCTTTTCTGTGTGTCTGACTCTACATAACAAGAAGGAGGATTGTTTCCAACTCTCTGTATAATAAGCAAAGGAAGCATGTGGTCATAAAGTTTCCTATTTAATCAATATATCTTAATGAACTTATTAGGAGAAGAAAGACACTATTGTAAGAAGGTAAGGTGTGTAGGTTCTCTTTTCCTTTATTATCATCTCCTTGCTCTCCCTTGTCCCTTTTTCTCATCTGGGAACAAAGAGACTTCTACCACCTATTCAGACTTAACCTTCAGATACAGGAAAGCATCTAAAAGACAAATGTTGGGATGAAATACTGTGGCAGAGAGATATTCATAGAAAAAAAGAGGCCAAATTAGAGAATGAACTTCATGGCAGCTGTTGCCCCTAGGGCCAGAGGGCAATTGACTATAGCAGTTCTAGATAGCCCTGGGCTCATATGGCCTCAGGGTGAATATGAGTATTAGTCTTTCCAGCTCATGGAGTCTTTTAAGGATCCCCAGGAGTCCCACCCTTCATCCCTCCTTTCCCACCAGTCCTTTCTGTTCTACTCCTGCCCCAGATTATGTATAGCCCTAGGTGCCTCCAGGCAGATGATGGGTCCATCCCTCCTGCCTGGCTGCCTCTCACTGTCACATGTCCTTCCCAGGGTGAGGACATCCTAGACAGGAGCTCGGAGCTGATCTACACTGGGGAGATGGCCTGGATCTACCAGCCCTATGGCCGCAACCAGCAGCGGGTCTTCTTCCTGTTTGACCACCAGATGGTCCTCTGCAAGAAGGTAATCACACCCTCTTCTTCCCTGAGGGATCTGGGCAGTTCAGGGGGCACTAGCCTCTCCCCCTTTATCATCCTCCAACTATCAATAAAGTGGGTTAAAACTATGGGTCAAAAGCAGACAGAAGATTGGCAGCAAGTCTATATTTGGATGACTGGTATGGCATGAATATTATAGGCAAAGCTGGCTTTTGGACAGTAAAGCTCTGAAGATAGGATGTTTTTGTCTTGGTATCATTTTTACTATTTACCCTCTTGCCCCTGGTGATCCTTCTCCACTATCTTCCATTCAGATCTGATAGCCTACTGATTTACACTAGGCATTGAAAATATTTAAATATTTTGAGAGGGCAGGGCGGGGCGGAGTCGGGAGCTCATCCTTGCCCCGCCCTGCCCTCTCATTCCCTAGCCCTCACCCAACCAATCAGGGTTAGCCGAGGCAGTGACATCACCATCAACCGGAGTAAAAAACCCCTGGACTGGAAGAAATTCGCTCTCTTCCGCCATGCTGCCAGCGTGAGTGGGGGAGGCCCATGCTAGCATGGTAAAGGCTCTTTTGTTTATTGCATCGGACTTGGCTCCCTGGTGGTCCTTGGGGATCACGAAGTCTGGGCATAACAATTTCTATCCCAGTTGGTGAATAGTGGCTTCCCTGAATAAATTACCCCTATTTCCACTCTAATGGCTCCTCACTGCCCCAAGAAACAACAAGGGTCCTCCTACCTTTCCCTGACAGGTATGTACTTTTGTGGTATAGGACTTTCCCCTTCGCCCTTATTTATTTTCTACATAAGTTGTATTACTTTCCTATAACTCTTGACTATGCTTTTTTTCTCCACCTCCATTCTCTGTAATCCTTTTCATACTCTTGTCATTGACTTCTGGCTGACTCAATGTGAATGTTGGTTTCTTGGTCTCCAGTCCTTGGAAGGTAGGAGGATGGCATATGTTCTCAGACTGATGGATATACTGTTCTCTTCTCCTGATGGTATACTGTTCTCCTCACTTTCTTTCTCAACATAGGGAGTTCAGACCACTTTTGGCTCCAGGGAGTGGTTGGGAAGAATTTTGGACCAGGGAAAATAAAAGAGAAGGGAAAAAACAAAGAATGTTTAGAGTGACTTTCTAAATTTGTTGTCCTATCCTTGGCTCTGACTCCATCATCCAGTCCCTTTGTTCTTAAACTCATCCAATAGTAAAAGCATCTGAAGAGGAATGGTGAGTCTTGAAATACCTAGTTAAAAATTGTCATTTTTTTCCAGCCTGAGACATGAGCTATAAATTTGTTTTTAAGCACCCTGTTCTATGTGTGTACCACATCTTTCATTAACTTTGTCCATTTGCCTTTGACAGAGGATTGAGAGAACAAATTGAGTTTTGAGTCAAATTGCCTTAGTGTTGGAGATAAGCTTTGCATGCAAGATCTGGAACCAATAGTGGATTGGTTAATGGGTACAATAATTATCTTGGTCTGGAGCTGACCCTGGAAGACAGAACTTTTATGATTATAGAACTTAGCCCAATATCAGGCCTCTTCTTACCTCCCCCTCCCCCACAATTCTTCCTAGGGCATCTATCAAACCAGGAGATGGAATTGTTTAGGGTTAACTCTTAAGATTTATTGCAAAAATGTACCCATTTTGCAAATTATTATGCAAAATCTTTCCCATAGTGTACATTGGAAATTGGGATTGCCTGAGCCACTTAGAACAGCTTTAAAAATATGTAGCTTGATTTAGAGGGTGTGTGTATGTATATACACATATATGTATATGTTTATGAATTAAGTGGTCATTATAGTATATGTGAAGATACCAATGACTTCTAATTATGTAATCTGTTCTTTAACTTTTGCTGTCCTCATTCTTGTCACTTTTCTTTTGAAAAATGTAGATAAGATTCTTTGTTCTATTTTTTCCTGTCCTCTATGATGGCTGGCTCTGGTCTTCTTAATCTCATTGCTCTGATATTTTAGCTATGCATGTGTATTGTTGTTTTTCCTGATATAATTATACTGGAAATTATTTTGCTGCTTTGGGGGATTTTCCCCCTTTTCTCCATGTTTGCCCTTTCATTTTTAGTGGAAAGGGAGAAGAGCCTATTTCTCCTCTCTTCAGTCATTTATCCACTAAAGTTCCTACAGCCCTGAAGTTGCCAAAACAAACTTTGTCTTGTATCTTCTGTCAGTGGTGCCAGTCTGGATATGCTTTGTTGTCTCCCGTGTCATAACTACTTGGTATTTATGTTGTTTTAGTCATATTCTGGAAAGTCAGAACTAAATAGAATTTAATGATGCTAGAGAGAGGACTTCTTTTGTTCAAGTAACTTCCTGCATTTGGGCCATTTCTTCTTGCACTGATTGGTCCTTTGGAGGATGAGCCATTCAAAACAACTAGAAATGCAAACATATCAACAGAAATGGGGTTAAAGAGAAAAGAGGATGAGGAACTAGAAATGCAAACATATCAACAGAAATGAGCTTAAAGAGAAAGAGGATGAGGAGTTGAAGCTAGAACAACTGGGTCCTAGACTCTACTGTCTCTTACTAATTAGTCTAACCTTGGGAATTGCTTTAACTGTAAATTATTATTTTTCCTCAGTGTCAAAGCAGGTCCATGATAAAATTTATCTCAGTAATTTTCGGGAAGAACCCTGTAAGTTATTAGGAAGCAATGAAGTTTACTCTTAAGAGCATGGACTCTAGGGCCAGACAAGAGGGAACCAATTTCTTTCTTTCTTTCTTTCTTTCTTTCTTTCTTTCTTTCTTTCTTTCTTTCTTTCTTTCTTTCTTTCTTTCTTTCTTTCTTTCTTTCTTTCTTTCTTTCTTCTTTTTTCATGAGCTGCATGACCTTGAACAAATTATCTTTGCCTATTATTGTTCCCTCATTTGCAAAATGAGAATCATAATCTTATCTACATAGAAGGGAAGTAGGTAAGGTCAAATGATGCAAAATAATTTCAGTGAGTGGCACATAGTAAATATATAATAAATACTAGCCACTGTACATTTAGTGTCACTAGTCATTTCTTCAGCAAATTTTTATTGGGAGGCAGTACCCAAGAAGGTTAAACAATCATAGATTCTAGAGCCAGATAGACTGGTCTCAAGGCACAGCTCTTCCATTTAGTATTTTTCCCCCTGGGCAAGTTTATTAAATGCTCTATGTCTAGAGTTCCTCATAAAATGGGATTATAACAGTACTTTCCTTATAGAATTGTTGTGAGGATTATTTAAGTTAATAAATACAAAGCATTTAACTATTGAGTAATACATAACTAAAATGTGATATACACAATAGAATCTTACTAAAACTGAAAATAGAAGAAACTCTTGCCATTTGCAACAATATGGATGAACCTGGAGGGCATTATGCTAAATAAAATAAGACAGAGAAATTCAAATACCATATGATCTAACATATATGGAATTTAAAGCATTTGAACTCATAAAGACAGAGAATAGAATAATTGTTGATGGGCTGGTGGGGTGGAGGAAATAGAGAGATATTGGTCAAAAGATAAAAACTTTCAGTTATACCAGATGAATAAATTCTCGAGAGCTAATGTACCAGCATGGTGAGCATAGTGATACTGCATTGTATTCTTAAACTTTACTAAGAAAGTAGAACTTAGGTTTTCTCATCACAAAAAAATGGTGATACATATTTTAATTAGCTTGATTATGGTAATTACTTTACAGTGTATATGTATATCAAAGCATCACATTGCATATCTTAAATATATACCTCAATAAAGCTGGAGAAAAAGGAAACACATTTAGAATAGAATTGGCATATAAATTATGCTAAGTGTTCACTATTGCATTGTTATTATTACTTTGTTATTAATAAGTATGTACTCTTGGTGCTGAAATGAAATAATGAGAAAAATAAATCCAGTCTCAGTCCCTGTGCCTTTCCCAGGATCTGGAGAAAAAACTGGGGTGATTCAGACTAGGGGGGTAATAACCAGGGCCCAGTCTAAAGAGGCAAAGAGGACCTTATTCACAGACTGCAATTCTGAACAGTTGCATTCCCCAGATTACATTATCTGTCATTTGTACAAAATGTCCTACAGTATTTTACTAAACCTCATGAAAACTCAGTGAATCCAAATTCAAATAGCTCCCATCTGCTTCAATTATGCAATGTCAGGGTTGGGGGTAGATTCCTAGCTAGAGCCATGGTTAGGGCCAGGATGCTTGTCTGCAGACATCTGGGGCTCTCCTGGAGAAGTAAAACTTCCTTAATATCCTCCATCTCATATTACTGAAAGGAAAAAGGAGGAGGGGTGATATACTATTGGAAACAACCCCATTTAGAGTGGGAACTTGTGGCAACTCAGACAATATCTCAGCACTTATTTCATCATGTCCCAAGGAAAACACTCAGTCAACCATTAACAAATGGCATGTAAGCAGCTTGTTTCCAATAGAACCATAGGCAACCAGAATTCAGAGAGGTTTGTCTCTTTTTTATGAGTAGAAACTGAGCAGAAAAACCTCTAAGGCTTTGTCAACTGTCTTTCCTAGGACAACTGCTGAGACAAGCAAGACAAGGAAGGTGCTGTGCTTGGCACAGGTTAAATGTGCAGACAAAACAAAGCTGTGAAACACAACAAATGTAGCTCAACATGTGGTACTGAGTGTCAATTGTGTAAGAGTGTATAGTCTATGCTAGCATTCACAAAAGGGAAACCACAGTGAGGAGCTAGAGGGTACAGTCAGAGAAGGCTTCTTTAGGGAGGAAGAATGTGTGAATTTTACTTTAAAGGATGAATGTATTGAAATAGGAAGCATCACTGGGGCAGAGAGGAGGTATTAGTGTGAGCCCAACATAGAGATCTGTGATTTTGATGAGTGAGTGGCAAATAATATTAGCCATCCACCACCACCACCCCACCCCTATCCCACCCTGCTCTCTGCAGGGCCTGTCTGTTCCACACCAGGGTGACTGCCAAGCAGGCTGTGCTGGGTGCTGCCTGCAGGTCACACTTGCCTGATCA